GACGTCACCAGAGTACGAGGTGTGGCTGAGGCAGTCGTCTTGGAACTCATGGAGGGCTACTTGGATCAAGGCCGAGACTTGTGCACAGACAACTGGTACACCAGTCTGCCGCTCGCCAATTCTTTGCCTGACCGGAGAACCAATCGATTTGCAACATCCTGGTATGTGCGATGAAGGTACTCTTGACACATCGTACATCTGTCCGAGAAAGACTCAAGTCTACTGCATCAGCTCCGGTACATTAACTCCACCTCGTCATGGAAATGTACGTTTATACATATTCGTTTATTCGTCCATGCATAGCATGAAGCCGTAACAAATCAAGTATGATAAAACAGAATTGGAAGAATATCATTGCTGGTTGTAGGCAGGGGTAACAGGCTGTGAACCACCTCCTCGCATCAAATACGGACGCTTTAAATGTTCTTTCATGCTCTAATGATGAGCGGAGGTAAGGTTATTAAACCATGTTCCCTAGTTTTCTATGCATAGGAGGAATTCCCCGCCCCCACCCCCCAACTTCATCAGATAAGAAATACTATTGTTATCGCAAATTTACCTATTTGCTCGCTTGATCAATAAGGGGATTGAAACTTGTTGTGTCCATTTTAGATAGAAACTTCCGTTGTGTTAGAGAAAAAATTGTTGTTGTCATTTACCATGTTGCATGGAAAGAGAAAATTACCATGAATCAACGCTGCCGTATATAATAATGTACACCCAAATCTCCTCTAATGTGGAAACGTTATTACTGGCTACTTACGAAAGCTCGTATTTCCTTCATTTCCAAAAATGGAACAGAATGCATCCAAAATGGCATATACCTCAGGGGAAGCAAAGTGAACTACAAATGTAGAAAGTTTTATACTCGTCGGGGCCCACGTGTTCGGACATGTGGAGAGAATGGAGAATGGACTGGCCCTGACCCCCTCCGTGAACCTGGTCTGTGTATATGGAGAATTCGATTAAATGATCGGCATAAATTGTACGATGACGGAATGACTGGTGGGTTACCCTGCTCTTCTAGAGTGCGGCCTAATTAAAAAAAAGGGTGCATCCGCTCAGCGATTGGTTCGTGGAGGAAAGAAAGCATCACCTGAAACTTGGCCTTGACAAGCGGTCATCTACGAATGGGCAGGTGATAGATATCATTTGTGGAGGAGCTCTGATTGGAAGCCGATGGGTTCTCACGGCAGCACATTGTTTCGTAGACGGCGACGACACGATTGCAGTTCGAGATGTGAATGATTTCTTTGTTTATCTTGGCAAGCATCATTGAAATATGTCCATGAACGATGAAGTCGTGCAAAAGATGAAGGTTTACTCCAAATGCATTTCATGTTACCTTCCTGCAGAAATACATTCTTGATCCCTGATGGTGGAAGATTCCCCATTGTTTGTAGGTGACTCAGACCATGGTGCATGACAATTACACCGCCTCGGAGTCAGACATTGCTCTGATGAAACTCAACGATTCGGGTAATATAACGAAATGGGTTCAATTGATCTGTGTGCCGTCCAATGATGAACTGTCAGATGAATTTTTGGATGGTGTACGACATACATTTGGCGGTCCCTATCGAGGAGAGGTAAGACACCATCACTCGGATGCCTCATTTTTCTGTTGTCTCTTTCTTTTTATTATCGGTTTAACGCCAGGTGGCAGGTTGGGGAAGAGACGCTTCAGACCGGGGAACAGATGTCTTGACTGAGGTGCAGCTGACAGTCATACCACAGCGTGAATGCAGAAGTAAAATTGCCGAAATCACGGGAAATCACCCTTTTTCCATCTCCAGGAACACAATTTGCGCAGGAGAACGCAACTATTCCTCTTCATTTGAGAATAAGCATGCAAAAGGTTTCATTCCAAACTCTCCAATCCCTATCATTTCAATCGCGTACACTCTTTGAAAAGAATGAACAATTTCGATGAAAGAGAGTGAAACTTGTGTTTGCGATTTTATTCCCTAAAAACAATAAAGTAATGCCGCACACCTCTCTCTTTCCTGAGAATAACCCCTAACATTTCCTACTAGTTTGAAAAGTACTTTGACTTTTTCGTTTTGCGCTAGTAAAAAAGTTATGGATTCAGCCATATAATGGAGTAGTTCTCGATGGTACTTCCTCAATTTTAGTGAGTAAAATCTCCGGTTTCGCTCCCTGTCTCTGATGTCGCACTATTTACTATGAGTGTATCTCTCTCCCTCTTGAATTATTTTATCCATGGCATGTGAAAGTGATTATAAGAAAGATGCGTGGCTTGCAGAATGGAATTAATTTTTAGTCCTGCAGTATAAATAATAAATCATATTTTTTATTTTGCGGCTCGGAATATAATCGACCGGGAGACCCAAAGGTGTTCTACTGGGATTTAAGATATTTTCGAAAATTCAAACATGTTGGTGAACTTATTTTTCTTTTGTAGAATACAGGACAGTGTGTGGAGGGGATTCGGGGAGTCCCATGGTCTTCCCATCTCATAGCCTTCTAAAAAGTCAATGGGTGGTCGAAGGAATCGTCAGTCATATCTATAAGAAGTCGGGACAAAATTGCTCCAATTACGAACCTGGCCAGTATGGTGTATTCACTAGAGTCAATAAGTGAGAAAGGCTTTGATGCTGCTCCTTTGTTCAGTTGTCTCAAAAAAGCCATTGAAATTAATAGATAGCGCGTGTTCAAGATGATGGATGGTGGTACTACTTGACAGAAGTTCCTCGCAGATAATTACTTCTTAAGAGCTTCTTGTATCCTTCTTTGAACATTCCAAAGAAAAACATAAATACATTGATTTGCTTAGCTTATTAACGTGGTTTCCAAGTTCCCGCAAAAAAATTGAAATTCAGCTGTGTGTAATATACCTATGTTTTTTTCAACGTGTCCTTGGCGTGAAATATTGTTTCCTTCTCATATATATTTTAATCATGTCATAGACTTATTCCTGTATATTTATTTATCTCCACCGTCAATGAAAAATTCAAAGGAACATTAGCAAGTTTGCACGCCTAAAGTCGACTAAAGTAAAAAGTGCATTAATTAAATCTTTCAAAATATTCTAACTTGATTCAATTTTGGATGTTTCTGATGTCGATGAACTCATGAACGAATGAATGATGGTCCATACTCTCCGAAACTACGTTCCTACGCTTGCAGATAATTTGTTTACTTTAAGAATATTTCGGACGGTGAAAATGAGGTGAAATCACAGAAGTAATAATTTTGATAAAAATCAAGTCTTTCGACCCCATATCAAATATTTCAATGGGGACGTACTTTAAATACGTGTTTCCCATTTCACAAAAAATGAATGACTTAATCACTATGCAAGGTAATGGAGCGCCGAAGGCGCGGCCATAGCGAGTTTGTGTGAAGAATGGGGTCTTCCACGTGAAGAAATGGGGTCTTCCACCCTTTTCGCCTCCTAGGCCTACCCGGAAGAACTCTTTGTTTCCCCAACGCACCTGACTTTTACGGTGATTAAAAGGGAAAAACATAACAAAAGAGGGGAAGGAGGAAATATATTGTGTACTCCCCCTGAGGTAAAGCTTAGCCCTGTCCCTTGGTTGCGAGGGGTAGTGTGGCCCGAGTAAGAGAGGGGGAGAGAGAACAGTAATATAAATAACCTTCAGGTTCCAGTAGAATTTCCCCAGTCGGATCCTTCTCCCATCCAAAGAAACAAATATTGTGGATAACTGTTGTTTTTTTATTTCATTATTGTCTCTTATTTTCATAAAGTTAAATACTCTACTTGAAAGAATTACGAGAATTTCCATTTCTCCAGAAATTCTGTCTAGCAGACCTGCCTTAACCCTCGAATCTGGAACGGGGCAAGTGACCAATTAATATTGATCGCTTGTTACGTCACATTTGTTTGCCCGAAGTGCAACCAAACTCGCCAGTATCTAATATGTATAGACGATCGTCACTGACTGACGCTAATTCTAACCATGTTCTAGAAAGGTTACAAATCTGAAAAAGGTATACAAATACCTTTTGCGATGTAGAGTTCTGAAAAAATCCGACTTTAGAGGTACATGCCCTGGGGGTAAAAATTTTGAGAGGAAACATTTTCTCATATAGAGTATAAATTGTGACAGATGAGGATGGCATTCAGAAAGCCAGCTGGATGTCCTGGATTCGTTGGTATAGTAGTAGCATATCTGACTGGCAATCAGAAGGTCCGGGTTCAATTCCCGGCCATTCCTGGGCCTTCGTTTGGCTGATTTTGCCTTCCATGTCCCGGTACTCATTCCCCCTCCATAGCATTATTTTTGCTTGAGTAAAACAGAGAGACATGGAAAGGTAAAACTTGGCATGGACGTGCCTACCGAAACGATGAGTTCAGGAAAAGTGCAAAATGTTAGATCCGTGCCCTGGGGGATATTTTTTGGGGCCGACGTTTTCAAGTATTTTTTTTGTCCTGGCGTATTGAGCTAGTGTGGAAATATGAAACTTGGTACATAACTACATATTAGGATGCTGCAGAAAAATTCAGACTTTGGAAATAAATGTCCTGGGTACACAAATTTCAAAGCGAAATGATTTGAACTAATTTGTTTGCATCAGTTGAACTGATGAACATGGAAAGCTGAAACTTTGCATGAATGTGACTACTGAGACAAGGAGTTACATGAAAATGTTAAGTCTCGATACATCCCCTGGGGGGGGGGAATTTTTTCGAGGGGCGATTGATTTGAAAAAAAAGAGGTCGTGGCGAATTGAACAGAAATGGAAAGGTGAAACTTGGCACAAGATATGTGAAACGATATTACTGAGCTGATGGATTATTCATCTTTCATGGCGCATCTCCTCCGGGCATAGCTTTTGGGTGGGTCTGCTTTTCCATAAATGTTTTTTCACTAGCGAAAAGGGCAAACACATAATATTGAATCTTTGTGGACATGTACTTCACTGAGGATGGATTTCGTTTTTTTTTTCGGCTACTGATTTTGATAAAAATTAAGACTTTCGACCCAATATGTCATGTATTTCAATGCGGACGTGCTTTAAATACGTGTTTCCCATTTCGCAAAAAATGAATGAATTAATCATTAACCAAGGAAATGGAGCTTCGAAGGCGCGACCATAGCATAACAAACTCGTAACCAAATAGGAAGGGATCAAGTGGCACAAATCATGGGAAAATACAGAGCTCAATCGTGGAAGCTATATTTGGGAATACAGTGGATTCCGCTTAATTTGGCCATCGGTTAATGGGGGCAGCCGGCTTTTCGGGACATTTTGTCAGGAACGGAATCATTTCTATGCAAGAGCAGCACAATTCCGCTGCATATTCGTGACGAAAATCCGCTTTATTCGGGCAAGGATTTGAGCCATTGCTTCGAGTTGGGTTTTTCCGTTTTTTCTCTGGGGATTTTAGGCAGCTGTCTTAGATTGGAGTCCGTCTGTCCGGGATTAGAGTCCAATTCAGTGTTCAAGATGTCCAAGCGCAAGAATATGTCCCTTTGTGAGAAGATCGTGCTCCTGGACACGGTTAAATTGCAACCACAAGGGACCAGTCAACCCTGTCTAGTTGAACTACTTCGTGGGCAGAAGTTCACAGTGGCCAGACCTGTAGCGCAGGAGCAGACGCTGAGAGAGAAATGGTCAGAATAGGTACGAACACAACCGGGTAAGCGAAGAAGAGAAAGAGAAGGCAACGATCCTGAAGTAGAAGCAGCTCTCAGCCGATGGCTCTGCGTCGTTTCATCAATAGGCCCGAGAATGGAAATCAAGACGTCAAAATATGTTCAAGAAAGCACACGGTGAGAAGAGCAGTGCCGACGTCGAGGGAGCGGAAGAGTGGAATCCAGCTGTTCTGCTCAAGCTTCGGCGAGAGTTCGAACCCGACGATATCTAAAACGCCGACGAAACACGGTTGTATTATAGAGCAACTCCTGACGGCTCATTGTGCTACGCATACCAGGAACTCAGCGGCTTCAAGAAGGCCGTGGATCGTGCTACGATCCTTTGTTGTGCCAACATGTCTAGGCGAGTCCAAGTGAAACTGCTCTTGATCGGTAAGAACAAGAAGCCACGATGCTTCAAAGGTGTTAACGTGGACACTCTGCCGGTGACGTATCGTGCAAACAAGAACGCCTGGCGATCTCTTTCGAGAGTGGCTTTCCAACTGGGATGCAGCGCTTGCCAGACAGAGTCGCAACATTCTGCGCCTTGTTGACAATTGCGCGGCCGATATCCTCGTGTCGAAACGTTGAAGAAACAACGACTCTAATTCCTGCCCCCGAAGACGACGTCTATCATCCAGTCGATGGACCAGGGTGTCATACAAAATCTGAAGACTATTTACAGGATGGAACTTGTGCAGATAACTCTTGCAGCTCTCGAAGACAACCTGATGAGCCCGTGGTTCGTGGCCATCGACGTGAGTTCTCAGGTCTCGGTCCTCGACGCCGTTCGCTTTGTGGCTAAGAGCTGGCAGGCTGTCAAGTCAGAGACCATCACATACTGCTTTCACATGAGCCACATAAGAGCTGGCTATCATTCTGGACCAGAGGTACCAGTGTCGACCTTTGAAGAAGGTTTGGTCCATCTTGATGTCACTAACGGAAAAGCCTATGCTAACATCGACGAAGACGCACCATGCTTCACCGGATGCGATGACTTCGAAGACGATATAATCGAATAAATTGTGCGCAAAAGACCTCGTTTGTGGGAAGACGCAGACGAGGAGCCTCAGACTTTATCAAAGATGGCTCACGTTGAGGCCAGGTGCTCAGTGGACATCCTTCCGCGCTACTTTATTAAGCAAGGATTGGGGCATACAGCACATACTGCTCTTGACACTTGTGCTGAAGAAGTCTTTAGAAAGGCTTTATCAAACACGAACAAGGAACTATCGGCACATTCCTTGAATCTTAACTCTTGTTTTCTCACAAATAAAGGGCATTCGTGTCAGGATTTCTCATTATTCTTCACTACAAGGTAACTTCGCCTTATTGGGGCAACCGACCCGGAACCAACATGTTCCACTGCAATTGTGCATTCTGGCCGTATAATGGTGCTATATGAAACGGTGGTAGGGCGTGTCTATTCGCTGAAAAACAGGGTCCTACCGAGCCTCTGTAATGAATCAGCTTGAGTCGATGGACGCTAATAAGTTAATGCAGAAGGTCTGCAATCTGCATTAAGTTTGGAGAGGATAGAAGGCTACGGAATTGTGCAGTGTGATGCATCAGGTTACATTTAAAAAGTGTTCTTTCTGATGATGCTTCATTCATTTAAATCGCAGTCTTCGTTGTGGGGATATTGAATGTCAAGAGCCCACACCTATTCGTGGACCACCCCGTGAACGATGTGCATGAAAAATGCATGCATCCTCTCAGAGCAGTTCTTTTCTAGTTCAAAACCTGACAACAATTTCAAAACTCAAAACTCATCAATTTCCTTGTGTCCGATAGAGAAATGCATTCGAAGGGACCTTTCTTCTTGGGAATGCAAAATGTTTCTCACAGCTTCTTCATGTCGTAATCATGGGGATTTCATAGACGAGTGGAAGTCTTCCACGACCCTTCTAAGAAACTAAAATTTTTGGAGATTTTCCCTAATGTGTCAATACAAAAGGTCAGAGTAGCCATGACAAATTTTCAAGGAAAAATCGAAAGGAGCTATTTCGACGCGAATCATCAAATCCAAAATCAAAACAAAAAAGATCATATTCCTAATAACGCGCCGAGATTATCGCCTTCTCAACCTCCAGATTAGACAGCGATCCCAAAACTACACCAAACAAACATATTAATATATCTTCACTCTCCGCCCCAGACTTAAAACCGACAATTTTCTGCCAGTGTAAACCCGAGCAGCTGTTGCATGAAGGAACCTTGACAATTTTCTCATGTCGCTTCATCTTATCCAGAATATTGTGCAAGGCGCGTAATGGCGATGGATTGCGTAGCATAAGCTCGCAAGCTCGCTGTCGATTAAGTGATGGAATTGCGAATTCTTCCACGGTAATCTCATTCTACACGTAGTCCGAAAAGTCTCTACCCGATCGGAAATGCATTTAAAAACCATTACCCGATAGGAAAATCATTTTGGGAGGAAACCAAACCATAATTTCTCAAAATGTTCCACATTCAGTCCAAAACAGGTTTGCAATCTCTATTCGATAATAGAATGATTCATCTAGGATCAGTTGGATCACCAGCTACTGTGGGCGACTCTGACTTGAGTTGGAATTCAAATGATCACTCTCAGGTCCCCACCGTGTTCAAGGCTATATCTCAATTTCAGAAAACATCGACAGTGAAAATACATCCTCGCTCTTGGCGGCCATGTGAGGTCGAGACGCTTTCATGAGATTGCCAGAAGAAAAAATTGAAAATCGTTTCAGATGCAAAATATTGGCTAAATAAAAAAGACTAAACACTTATTTCATATCGAATTGGAGGCTAGTAATAAAATCAGCGGAAACGTCTCATCTCCCACGGTCAGAAACCACAGACGGATATCCCCTGCTAAAGGAACATCCCTTCCCACAGGGGAACGCGAAAGAGAAATCAAGCTGGATCCCGTTAATGTTAATGCCAGACAAACTTCAGACCTGTCAAAGCCAATGGTCTCCTTCAGGTTCGTTTCGAGTCGTCTTCTGGCATTTTTAAGCGCGGAAAGACATATCTTTCGTTTCGGTGTCCCTTACCATAGTCATAGAGGAATTCCACATTCATTATTTCTCATTCTGAGTCTTTCTCAAGATGATTTCTCATGTGAGGTTTCAATCGTCCAGGTCGTATACGAAGCGACAGTCATTCGAATTTGTGTAAAAATGCTCTGATAATAATTTTTAGAAATTTCTGATTCTTCGCAGAGAAAATTTCCGCCTTTTTCCGACTCTCTCGCTTCAAAAATCATGAATATCTCCACGTTAATCGGGCTCTACTCTTCCCCTCCCGCACCTAAGAAGATTAAAATAGTTTCGATTATGATTCTTCGCAGAGAAAATTTCCGCCTTTTTCCGACTCTCTCGCTTCAAAAATCATGAATATCTCCACGTTAATCGGGCTCTACTCTTCCCCTCCCGCACCTAAGAAGATTAAAATAGTTTCGATTTTCGCAATTTATTTTGAAAGGACTATCTCATCCTGACGCATTTGGCGTAATTTCTTCGTTAACGATGAGGACTCCCGGACTCGGTCGGTATACCGGATATTCCATCAGCATCCTTGAAAAGACACGCTACCGGTACACTACATTGAACGCAAGGATTGCTTTCGGATTGCGTTCAGGAGGCAAACGACTCGCCGAAAGCCTCCATGATGAAGGCGACTTCGGTGCGGTCTGACCATGAGTTGCCTCGGGGATAGTCGCTATTCCAAATCTTTTCTTCACCTGCATTTTCTTCTCTGGTCTGCAAGGAAACTGGAACGAAGATGATCTCGAGACGAGGCTGTCGTCTGCTTAATGGAATAATTAACAGGAACTGAGAACTCTCGCTAGAGATATTAGAGACGGAAAGACGACGTTCCCGGAGCAGGAATCGTCCTTCTTCAAGGCCAAATAAGTCAGCGAAAAAACGAAGCTGATGAAGCGATTCCTAAATAAAGTAATGGACAAATTAGTGGGGAGGTCGGAGGAAGGGGGGAGGACGTTTTTGATATTCTTCTTGTTTCGTCGATGGCATCCGATCCATTGTGAGCAGTAGAAAATATTCGTTTCATAAGTTTCCCCAGTTACATATTCCACAAACGTGAGCATCGAGATATTCCCATTAAGTAGGGATTTTTTTGGACACTGTCGGCCTGCTGAATCTCTCTCCGACGATGTAGTAATCTTTTATCTTGGTCGATCTGATCACCAGCTGTTTTTGAGCAACTCTGAAGTTTATTGCTATCAGATCAATAGTTTGTTCAAGTTCATAAGTCATCCCTCCGTTTATTCCTCTTTGAATAATATGATATACTAGACCACACCCGCGTCACGGGGGATCCGCTTCGCTGGTAACAACGTTTCAACAGACATCAATGACTCAGTTCTAATTTGTATTTAAGAGAAAATAAATTATTAACGGGATAACGTTCGAATTTCAAAGTGCCACACTTTGGATGAATAATAATATGGGATGCCTCACGTTATCAGGGAACCCTCAACTGCATGAATGCAAATTCTTTGATACCGGCCTCGTAGCATTCAAATGAGACACGTGCACTCTTAAAAATGAGTCAGCTATTTCCACCAAAGGGGGCGAAATTTTATTTAGCGATTTTACTCCATAAAAACCAGGAAGTTTTGCACTTCCTCGTTTTTAGGGCGCAAAACCGCTAACCCCAACTTGTTTCTCTTTCTCGGATATCGTTCACATTTTTCTAAGAATGTAGTACTGTTGTTACATGGATATTTGTTCCAGCCGAAAGAGATGAGGTATCTAATATATACAGACGATCGTGACTGACTGACTGACGCCAATCGTAACCATGTTCTAGAGAAGTTAGAAATCTGAAACTTGGTACGCATGTACCTATTGGGATGCAGAGTTCAGAAAAAATTCGACTTTGGAGATACATGCCCTGCCGTACACATTTTGGGGGGAGAAGTTTTTAAAGATATATATTGTGACGGATTAGGATGGCATCGAGAGGCTTACCAGGGTGTCTCGG